TCTCATGTGCTGGTAGAGGGCATTGTGTAGCTGGAGATGCAGGATTTTAGTGGAGAGAGGTGAAATGGAGGTCATGGCCATTAGCAAGAAAGTCAATGCAATGTTTTACGAATTTTTGTCTGTGGGATGTAGCCAGACACAATCTATTGTAATTACAGGCTGTCTGCCTAAAATTTGCTTGTAGTTTAAATTGGATAGAAATAATCTTAATTTCCTGTCCTAAGTAGTTGTACAGAGTTGCTGTATTTTACCCCAAAGGCCGCTGCACTTTATTGGTGAGCAAAGCATTAATTGGCTCTAAATCATTTCCCATGAAAGGTGCTGTGTGTGTTTTCACTCTTCTTGTTCAGGGCTGGCAGCAAGTCTGTGCCTCACACTTCACAAACCTATCAGAAATGAAAGTTGTGTTCTGCAATTGAAATAGATAATGCATAGATGTGGAGCAGAGAGGAGATGTGATCAAGAGCCAGTGACTGAGCAGTGAAAATCATTGCATAACCTGTTAGTTCTTCTAATAAGAGGAATGCTTCCACATGGCTTTGTGTGCTGACAGAAGAAAAAGCACGAAGGAAGGCGTGGTGCAGAACAGCATAGTATGAGTGGCTTAATGAAAGAATCTCAAGTAAGAGGAAGGATTAGACAAGTAGAAGTGAAGGCAGGGGAGAAATTAATTGTACCCAGGCTTTAATGGGACAGTGGGATAAAATAAACAGCAAAAGGATGGAGCTGAGAGGAGCAAAATGGGTAGACTTGTGCATGCTTGAAATACAACCAGGAAAGGGTGTGAAGATGAGCTGGCATTATTGGTACAGTTTTGCTGTAGTATTCTGGCTTGATTAAAAAGGGAGTCCAAATAAACATTAGTGGAGTGAGGAAGAAGGAGGCTTCAGTTGCCAGGCAGAGAAAATATGGTTTGTAGTCTTTATAGTCTATAGTCTTGTAGTCTTGAGGCAAAGTAGCATGGACTGACGGGGAAGATCTGCTTGATCTTATGGTAAAGGCCTTATCACAAGCTGTTTACATGATAGTGTAGTTGTCAGATATGGTGAGTTTCATTTGTTCAGCTAACTGCTTACAGAGTCTGAAGACAGGTTTTTTGCTCTGGGTATGCTTAGTTCATTCATTAGTCATCTCTCATTTTGATTACTCTAATGGCTTCTGGCTAGACGTTGTCCTTCTTCTGCTCTTCACTTACCATCTATTCAAAAATCTGCCACATACATAATATCTTGTCATCTTCTCTGTTTGCTTCATTTTGCTGCCAGATCCCCTTAAAACTAACTTTAAATGTCACACTCAAGATGAAGGCAAAATCACACTTTGGATTTCTAGTTAAAAGAAATGGTTGTTTGTCCTATCTTATAGTTACTTCAAGAAAAGTATTTTAAAAGCCCATCACTCTTGAGGTGTGACAGTCACCTTGGAGTTCTGCAGGATGTACATGGCAGTGAATGATCACAGTAATTCACAAGAGTTTTGCTTGTGAATGTACTGTGTGGGGTCCTGCATTGCCAGCTGGCTCCCACAAAAAAGGAGATTGAAGATTTCCTTCCAGAGGAAGGGAAGTGGTGCTTGTGCATGCATGGCAGCTGCTCCTGCCTGAGGAGGAGGGCAAGTTGTGAGTAGTGTGTTGGGAAGAAGAAGAAAATAACTGTAGTTTATAGTGAGGGTGCAAAGTTGCTATGGAAGAAAGCAATACCATGACAGCTTTGGGGTTGCTTGTGGTCTGAAGAGCTGCTTGTTGCCCTCTCTTTTTTCATGCTTTTATCTCTGAAAAGCATGTGGGAAGAGAGGGCTCAGGAGGTGAGGCACAGAGGTAGGATTGCAGTGTGTTAGGGAGAGAAGCTGACTGCCTCAGGTTCAGAAGTGGTCCCTGTGGGCCACTGGGGTGGGTTATGAGAATGAAGAGAAATGTCTATTAGAAGAAAGAAAAGGATTTTCAATTTAAAAGGGAGAAGTGGATTGGATTAACAGGTGATGGCAATCACCCTGGAAAGATATCCATTGCTAGATTCCATCTGTGCCATTTTCATCTGCAACTGTCTTTAAATAGAAGTTCCTTGTATCCTGAAGGGTGGTAAGAGAAGGGAGCTTCTCTCCTAATAGGAAGGAGACAAGAGCTTACTTGATTAGGGATTTGCAAATGGAGTGTGATTGCAAATCACTGGAGATAATGAGAGTAAAAATTTACATGTTAATACCAAAATTAGTAACATTAGGAAATAGAGTAAGTGAGAGAGAAAATTCTGTGATATTTTTGAAGCAGGACCCCTGAGAACTCTTCCCATGGCTGACTGTGTGGCAATGGAAGAACCTGTACAAGCAGTGGGAACCCACAGCCTCACACTGCCACTGAAACGGGGTCTCAGCAAATCACCCGAGGCCATGGCTCTGCAGCTTGCCTGGCTCCAGCAATCAACTCAACACTGGGCTTTTATCTTCTTTTAAAAAGCAGTGACTTCTCAGAGCAGTTTTGAAGCTTTGAAGAGTGATCCTGCAATGACTGTGGAAATACAGTTTTTTCTACTATCTTAACATTTAGTCTCAATTACAAAGCAGCTTGTTAGTATGTTGCCTCACTATGTTCCTGAGACCTCATCTGTATGACTGAATGGTTACAGTGTGGAAATAATATTGCAATTCTACTACTGGCTGTTAGTAGAAGGACCAGGAAACACAGTTTAAATACTTTTATAGAGTATTTTTCAGATATATTTTCAAATATATTTTTCAAGAGTACTTCTCAAAACATTTAAAACTCTTAGCTCCTATGCGTGGTGGAGACAAATACGTGCTGAGCTGATCTGTGCCACAGCAGCTGTGCCTGATGCCTGTGTCCCATGTCACAGGCCTGTGTTCCTGAAGGGAGCAGCCTTTGCTGAAAGCTCTGTGGAGCCAGGAGCCTGATAAAAAACCTGCTGGAAGGGCTGAGCTAGGCCACAGCTGAGATGTGTAGGAGTGTTACGTTGGTTGTTATTAAACTGGGCCACAGAGAATGGCCAGAAAGGAAGGTGAAAATGTACTTTGTCTCTTGGATTCATGCAGGGAATGGAGGCATGGGAGATGTAAGGAGAACATACAATGTTGACAAGACAGTGTGAGCTATACATGCTAATTTTTGTGTATGCAAATAAGTAATGAACTTGGAGAAAGGCTAATTAGATATGAAAATTGTTGTCAGTGTGATGTTTTCAGAGGTTAATTAAGAAATTTTTTTTCTTTTTGTACTCCAGTGACAGCTGAGAAACTAAACATGTTGTTCCATGTCTCATTTCAATTGTTACATTAATATCTGCATTTCTGCTGCTAAATTACTTTCTGATCTGCAGTTCTCCTTGCCTCTACTCCAGCCTTCCCTTTTTTTGCTTATTTTTTTTCTATCAAAAATCCTTATTAAATCCTTGGCTTCAGCAACACACACTACTCAACCTTGATTCAGCCAGAAATACAGCACTTGCTGTTGTCTGCCCACGAAGAGATTTGCTTTCACAGGATGACAAGTCCCTTAAGTTTATTGTTGTCCTGAAATGTCCTAACACCACTGCCACACACAGCTTGCAATGTTGCAAACTGTTAGTTCAGAGCTTTACCAAAAGGAAGCTGTATGGTGGTTGTTTTTACCAAGAGGCAAAGCTACAATTCTTTGTTGATTTGGCTTTTTCAAATACCAGATTATTCTTGTTTCAATTAATTGACCCTGATATGTCTAAATTCGTTTTTCAGAAGGTGTATATAGCTGGTTTACTCATCTTACTTCAAATTTAGATCATATTATGCTTTGTTTTAAAAAATGAATAATATAATCTTGTTTGTTTCTGTTTATTACTGTTTCTTATGCTGTAGCACATGCCTGCTTCTTTCTAACTTACCAAAAGAAAATTAATCTCAATCAGTCTTACTCTGTAGTCTCCATGACCTACTATTTTGTTTATCAGTAGAAGTTTTAGAATAATAAAAACACACATCTGGGATACTTTCCCAGGTAAAGAATGCTGTTTGCTCACTCACACCTTCCACAAAAATGGATCTGATTTAGAGAGCTTTGTACTGCAACTGCCAGACAAAATGTTGTGCTTTCTCTCATCAGTGGGTGATGTAATTCTGTCTTGTGACACAGCAGAAGGCTGCTGGTCTCCAGCTGCTTAGAGTTTGTACCTGGGAAAGGTTAGCTTGATCCTAACACTGATTTCAGCTTTGTCCTAAGGTGTGTCTTGGACTTCTCTGCAGCCCAAGCTCAGGGGCAGAGAGGTACTGAAGGTGAAAACCCATGCCAGGCTGTGTGTAAGGCTTCTCTGTGAGCCCTGTGGGAAGAGGTGCCACAAACTCCTGGAGGCCAGCCCAGTGTCCAACAGGGGGTGTCTCCTCATGGATCTGGCAGTCAGCTACTCCTGTACAGGCTCTGTGTGATGAACAAGTACTGTTTCAACCTACAAATTAAGGAGTACTGAGCAGCCAAGAATGCAGACTACTGGTGTAGCTGCCCCTAAGTTCAGAGCAGGTGCAATGACCTCTAATGCTTACAAGAGAGGGCTGCCATGACTTTGTCCATGCCCTGCAAGTCACCTCTGGATGACACCTGTGCTAACTTACTGTCACCTGACTCCATTTCTGGACAGGCACAGGGAAAACAAACATGCTTAGCAGCTGACATAAACTAGACTTAGACTTACATCATCCACATACTGAAAAAACAGCAGACACAAGCTGCCTTGGTGTGTCCTGGCCTCATGTGCCTTGAACAGAAATGCACTAAAAAAAGCCTTGCAGTGCACAGGCAATGTGTACTGCCCAGATGATCCTCTTTCTTCTGAGAAGGGCAGGGTGGAAGCACTTAGGTGCTGCTTCTCTGTTCTCCCTCAATAATTAAGCAGCTGGTTTTATCCTTTGCCTGATTTTACTGTACAGTGCATTCAGAGCTGGCTTCTGCTGCCTGCAGTAACCAGCAGCAATAGAACAAGCAGTGCATTACTAACATAAGTGTGTTTTATTTTTCTTTACAGGTAACTGTGCTGGTCCTTTTTGCCCTTGCATTCTTAACGTGTGTTGTATTTCTGGTAGTCTACAAGGTTTACAAGTATGATCATACCTGTCCAGAAGGATTTGTTTTCAAGGTAAATTGCATACCCATTCTAGAAAAACAGTACAGTATGGAATATTCTGTGTTGTTTTAGGCATAACCTTGATTAAGGCATGATGTATTGCATAGATTTGGTGTTTCTTTACAAAGGTTAGTGTGCTTCCTGCTGTGCTTTTGCTTTGTAATTTATAATTGAAGTTGTACTATTGCACAGTATTAATAATGTGATTTTGCTAATGCTTTAAACATTGAAAATATAGCAAAAGTCTAAACACTTGTGTCTCTCAAACTGCAGTTGTCTGGACAAAGCCTTCATTTATGGGTCATATGGTTTAATGATGCACGTTCCTCCAAATTACGGTGTCTTAGGAAATGAGAAAATGATAAAATGTGGAGAAAAAAACCTGGAATATGTGTCAAAGAAAAAGTAGAGTGATGTTCTCATTAAGAGTAGTAGAGTTACTTCAGGGTTATTTTTGTACTAAGAACTTCTTGTTCTAGAACAGTGACCTCTGAGCCCTACTGCCAAAAGTGATGCCAAAAAAGGGAAAACACATTTATTGTAAAAAGTAGTGGTTCTAACCAAAAGGAGGCTGGGCTCACTTTATTTGTGTGAGATGGTGGTGCTGGCTCCTTTGCTATGACCTGGACTGAAAGTCAGGAAAGTAACAATGACTTCCCAGTTGTAAATTTAGCAGAGTTGAACTTGGCTGTAATTAGGTAGGAAAAGTAGCAGTGATAATGGCATTATTCCCTTTAGTTTTTTTAATAATATTTAGTCATGTAATAAATCAAAAGGGTGCCCAGTATGAACTTCAAAAGGATTCAAGAAGAGATGGCTGCCTCAACAATTTTGTTCAGGATTTTATCTGTCACTTCAAGCACATAAATAACTTACAAGAATCTAGTTCAAAATTATAAACAGTGATGCCCTTCTGGATTAATTTAGGTTCAAGCATTCAGTTGGTTACTGCTTCCCCTTTGTTCAAGGGCAAAAGATACTGTGGTTAGAATACTTGGCTGTAATTCAGGACATCCAGCTTTTGGTTCTGCTGTTGGCTTTTTGTGTTGCCTCAGACAGGCACTGAAACCCCTCTGTGTTCATGTCTCAGGGGACAGTAGGCCTTTTTTTTCCCCCTAAGCTTTCTTTTGGCATTGAACAGTCTGGAATATGGACTGTTATGTTCCTTTCAAGCCTGTCTTGATGTGATCCTGACATGTTCCTGTGCGAGTCTAGCAACAGCCTCCTGCTTCTGCCTCCTTTCACACCAAGCTGTCCTCTCCTTTGAGTTGCAGCTTTCTGGCTTCTTGTGGCTTTTCTTGCCGGTGTCACAAATAGTTAAGGAAAGAACACTTTCTCAGCTACATTTCAGTTGCCCAGTGACCAGAGTCTGGTTGTGTTTCTCTCTTTGTGGTCCTGTGTTTGGGACAGAAGTTAGGCAGAATGTCCCATAGCTCATGCTCTGTTCATAAAGTGCAGCACATACACAGAGCTGCATCATGGTTACTCTCCTGTTGATTTTCTTGGAGCTGGTGTTTTGTTTCCAGCTGCTTGATGGCATAATGCCAGGAGACAGAACATCTTTGGTCATGTACCTCTTTTAAGAAAGAATTCTGCAATAAGGATATTGGCAAATGACACAAAGCCTGAAAACTACCACTGTTAAGATGACTTTGTATTTATTTGTGTCTTTTTTTTGGGAGAGTCCATGATATGTGATGGCATAGCTTGGCACAGATGTCATAGGACACATGAAGTCTGTCACCTTGTGACCAGTGTCTCTGTGGACTGGCTTCATGTTTCAGGTGGACTCAACAAGATTACCCGGCCTGGATGTTTCCAGGCTTTAGATGCTGATGTGATTTCCTGGTTAAGGGCAAAGGTGTGCCTGCCTCAGGAAGCCTGGTGCTGCAGGAATCTCTGCATAAAGGCTGAGCTAACCACAGCTCTGAGTCAGCCTCTCTTCTCTGCTTTGATGCTCTCATCCATGGAGCAGTTCCAAAGCTCTCTGCTGTACTACGCCTCCAGGGCATGAAGGTGTGCTTAAAAAGGTGCTCATCTGCCTTTGTACAGCACTCTCATTTCTGTGCTTGCTGAAGCTCTCTGAGACAGCCTCAGTACTGCTGCTGTGCAGATTGCTTCTCTGGAGCACTCATCAGAACCTCCTGGTGAGACTCACCACAAAAACCTGAGTGCACTTACATCCAGAAGAATTTCCCCAGGGTTTCAGTATGTTCTGTACTGTGTCTGTTACCCTTTAGCTTTTGTTGCCAAAGCACCTGCATTCACACAGACTTGTGGGCAGTACAGCAAAGTCACTTCAGTGCATTGAGGACCACACCATCATCTGTTAAATTGGGAATTATTGACCCAGCAAAGTTAACGTGACAGAAGGTACTATTTATAAGTGAATTCCACTGGGGTCTTCATGTCAAAGGAACAAAAGGAATCATCTTAATTCAGCCAGATATAGACTGGCAACCAGGGTTTTCTCTGGCATCAAAGGCCATAACCTGTAAGTAATTTCCAAAATAGAAGGGTTGTGAAAAAAAGAAAAAAGACTGGCAAGTCACTCTGGAGCATCCCAGTTTCTCCTCATGGCCTTCCTTCTTCTCTCACCTGGGAACCATGGCAACAAATAAAAAGGATGGAAATAAATGTTCTACATAGCTGAAAGTGGCAGGGTAAGACTCAGCAGCAGTTCCCATCTTCCCATCACTCAGTCACTGAGTGCTGCATGGCTTGGTTTGACTGGGCACTCATCCAAAGGGCTGTCCTTAGGCAGTACACATGGGGCAATGAGTGAAAGGAGAGGTTGTTTTCCATCTCTTCTAGAAGCATGAAATCCCAGGAACAAAAATGCAGTCAGGAGGGAAACTGATGTCTGTTTCTTAAGGCACTTCTGTCAGATGTCTTGCATGTTTGTAACTACACCCCCCCCCTCAAAAAAAAGAAACCAAAAAACATCACTGAGTCATTTTTGCCTACTACAAAGCAAATTGCTTCTGAAATCAACAGAGGATTCTGTAGCTTTTTTCAGACTGTCATTAATCTTGGCTTGTCTTCAGCTCTAATAATTATATTTGCTTGAATTTCTTTGGCAGATTTCATTAGTTCAATGGATTGTGTTCCTTTCCCCACTTTAAATATTTAGAATTGTGATTACATCCCATGACTAAGTGAAATAATCACTACACATATGTCTGTGTCTATGTGCTTCTTAGTCATTTTATCACATCAGAAGTAGTGTCAGTTATCCCAGATAAAACATGGATAATACTTCCAGAAGACGACATGGTTGATGTATATGAATATTCATCTCAAATAGCTCTATTCCATATTCCTGGATTATGTTTTTATAAATCTAGGTCCCAGTCTTGCAGCTGGCACACACATTGACTATGAGCACAGGAAAGCCTCTGTTGAGTTACAGTGCTGAACTGCCACAGGTGCTGTTTAGCCAGGGGTAAATCCCATCTGCTTTGTGGTCTACTTCAACAAAACTGAGAAGGGAGACCTGTCCCAGCTGCTACCTTGACAGAAGGTTACAGATAAAGGGAACCAGGGTGGCTGTGGAAAATCTGGGCACTCCTGTGAGTCTGCCAGGCTTTGAGGCTTCTGTTTGAGCCAGTGAGGTGCTGCCTGTGGGAGGCTGCCAGTCCTGTGACAGCCAGGCATCTCTGAGCCATCACATGTGCCACGAGATGGAATTTGTCAGGCGCAGACAGGTTCTGAGACTACCTGTGGGCCTCTTGTTTTGACAAGTATTCCTTTCTTCTTTCATACCTTTTGATGATTTTTTTCCTTTTCAGGAGGCAAAATTTGTATTAAGTCAAGACTGTCTGCTGGGTCTTCACTCATCTTTTGCTTTATGATTTAAAACCATTTGAAAGAGTTGTTACTTGTGCTTATTTATGCCTTTTTTTTTTTTGACATGGACAAAAGTAAACTCAGAAATAAATGTGGACACTTCTAAGGTAGAATCTGGTCCTGAAACCCATGGAATTTTTGCATGTGTTTTTCTGCTGAGAAATTCCCAATATAAAATTCTGTTTGCTGAGTAGGAGAACAGCAGCAGTTCAAAGCAGCTGTGCTGTTATGTTATAAATTTTAGTCCTCTGGTGCTGGAATCAAGAGGACTGAATACCCTATTTCTTTCAAAACAGCCAGAGTAGAAATTACTAAATGAATTTTTTCTCAAGCTGCAGCTACTTCTGGCTTACAAGAGTCAATTCAATTGCTCAGGTGACTGCCCTGACATAGTAAAGTATCAGGCAAGACTGCCTGGACTGGCCAGTGTGGCAAGAGGACCTGCAGAGAGGCCCCAAGACCTTCTGGGGCAGAAGCTGGGGGCCACAGTATATGCCTAAATAACTTTTTTCTTCAGTGCAACGAGCTGCTCTGTAGGCTCTTCCTGCACTGTGACTGGAAGAGTTCCTGGATGATCCCTGCAACAAATGCACTGCACAGCCACATTCACTTTGGCTTTTAAGATGACAGCAAAGTGGATTTGACTTTTATTTTACTCTCTAAATTATCTATTTCACTTTCCAAAGCTCTGAGCATCTAGCAGGTTCTATTTAGTGCTCCTACAGTCTTGGGAAATGAAATAATTTAGTCTCACAGCTCCAGAGAGCTTTTTAAAAGCCTGCTGTTGAACTGCATCTTCTGACAATAAGGAGTGAAGTATTTTGTATGTGTGTACACACTTCCACATATGCTTGGCCACCCACAGAGTTTTCCCTATAATGTGTGAGCTACTGGGCTGTAAAACTGTTCATACATTGGCAGCAATATATCTGTAATAATTTCTGTCCCTCAGACTGCAAACACCAGGGCAAATTGCCTGAAGTTAATCTAACAGTGCAATACAGACAGCTGTAATTGTAAACCAAACAGTTGGAATTTGGTGGGCAGGAATAAACAGCAAAATGTGGCTGGAACTGGAGACTGAATATGTTTTCAAAATGATTTTCAGCAAGCATATTTCTTGTATGTTAATTATTCTGATATATAAACCCAGATTGGTCTTCCTGGCAAATGCATGAGTAATTTAAGGACTGCAGGGAAGAACATTTTGAACACTGTAGGACAATACTGTAGTTAATTGATGTATGTTGCATCTTGACTCACAGAGAGTGACTCTTGGCTTAGACTAAAAAGAAAAGGAGAAAAAAACCCTAATCTACTTCATGTGTGTGGGGGGCTGTATCGGAAACCTAAGCAATGGGTTTTCTTTTCAGAATAATCAGTGCATTCCAGCTGGCTTGGAAAACTACTACTCTGAACAAGACTCCAGCGCTCGAGGGAAATTTTACACGGTCATAAACCACTACAACCTGGCCAAACAAACCATCACGCGCTCCGTGTCCCCCTGGATGACAGTACTGTCAGAAGAGAAACTCTCTGAACAGGAGACTGAAGCTGCTGAGAAATCAGCTTAGTATGATAAGCTAATTATTAAAACTATGTCATTTGAAGGTAACTAAGGGACTTTAAGGAACTTTTCATTAAATATAATTATGGATAATTTAGAGGTTACTCATGTTTATGGTGTAACTGCTTCTGTTTGCTGATACTGCTTTGCAAAAAAAAAAAAAGAAAAAAGTGAAAACAAAAACTTGCTGCAGAACATTCATGGGCATAACCCCAGGTGCATATCAGCATTGCTGTAGAGCTTTGACACCATTTTCAATGTTAAAAAAAAAAATCCAATGTTAGATATGTTCTTGCAGTTTATTGGATACTGATAGATTTTGTCACTGGATTTTCAGGGCTTGAACCTTAGATAAATCATGTGTTCTGTTGTCTGAACAGATACTTAATTTATTAAGTTTTTGAATTCTTTGTCATTTTGCAAACTGAAACACCCCAGCCATAACTAGAGTGATCTCTTGTTTAGCTGAAAGCTGTAAGTAATGTTTAGTTTGGGCTCAAGCAGGAACGATAGTCAGCACTGACATCGGGGCATAATGTAATGACTTGTATGGAGAAAGAAACTGTCAGGTCGCATTTTTCCTTCCATTTCCTTTCCTGTTTTTGTAAGTGATAATGAAGTTCTCTGCAACAAGGCATGCTCAATGTTTTCTTATTGCTGTCAGCAGGATTTAACTGCATTTCCACTGTGGCTTTAGCATCTTGGTAAGGATGTGCACTGAAACACAAACTAGATAGACTTATGGAAAAACACAGGCAGTTTTAGTGGTGGGTGTTGAGGCTAGTGTAAAAAATATACAGTTCAGGATGTTCTAATGAGAAATGACATCTTTTGATCATACTGAAGACGCAGAAAGCCTATTCACAGTACATGTAGTCCACTATGTCATTTGTTGGATACAGCTGAAGGAGTAATATGTCTAAATTTTCTCCTGTATTACATCACATTTTCCCTTTTTATTAGTTAGAAAGAGCTTTCTGTTTATGTATGGTTTGCAGTTTGATACTTTTTAAAACATGGAGCATCACAAGTGAAACAGTAGCGTGTTAGATACCACAACTGGCTGTTAAAGCTCCATGTGAAAGAGAGTGAAGAGTAGAACTGTTTGTGTATGGCTTGGGAGGGGAAAAGATGTAGAAGAACATAGTATTGTGGATGCACGTTAAAGTTCCATTGTAATTACAAACTTACCTATTCTTTGTGTGAAATCATGTTTTCATTTTTATTATAAATCTTAAATATACATTATAAAAAGACATCTTATTAATTTAATATACAAAAGTGTGAAGCATCTGGGCAAGCAAGTTGCCTTTTTTATTCATGTAACTTGAATGGGACAAGGGAGAGTGGACATGTCAAAAGTTCCTTTTTTTTTTAAGGGGAAAACATCAGTAAAAGCTGTTTCTCAAGATTTGTAGTAGAACAAATGTGGTCAGATCTACTTCTGGTTTTCTCCAGCAGAAGCCTGTCATCCCAATACAGTAAAAATAACCATTATGACTCAGTGCTCTAAATTTGATAGGAAATGTGCATTACGCAGTGCAGCTGTGAAAGGCTTTTATTAAGTCATCATGGTATGTGGAATGCCTAAGAAGCAATAAGCTATGTGCCAAATTTTTCTTTGCAATTAAAAATATTAAGCTTATGTGAAGATCTTTAAAACATACCATGTTTGCATTTTCTAACAGGTATCTGCTTTATTGAATGCAATTGATTCACATGTAACTTTTGACATTTTCACTCTATGCATAGTAAAGAATAAGAAAGATGCTACCTGTTGCATAAAATGTAAAGAAATATACATTTCAGAAGAGAGATGGGAAAAACACACACATTTCATATCAGCATACTTATAGAGGACATTCAGATCTTACAGGATGGAAAGGTCTGTTTCCCAAGACTGTTCTAAATAGAAATGATTCACGATACATCTCCTCCCCTTAAATTTAGGACAATAAAAACTTTAATGCAAAAGTAAATACTGATGAGAAACAACTTCTTTTTCTCCTCATAACAATAAACAATAAAAATTAGTAAGCCTTATGAGCTAGGAGAAACAGATTGTTTATGCTTCTCGAAGTCAAAACCATTTTCCATCTGATTAATCAGGAGGGAGTTTATTGACTCTTATCTACACTTGGTTTTGAGACTTTTTTTAGTTAACAGATTGCTCCCAGGTTTAGTACTTTTGAGGAGTTGAATTGTCTATCCGTTGGCTATATTCCAGCATCCCAGAACATCTGTTTCATTGCACAATCTGTTTGTGTTGTATTCTCTCTTTTCACTTACAAGTAAAGCTCTCTCCTTGACTCCTTATCATTATTAGTACCATTAGATCAAGCTGATTTCTGAGACAAGTAGTTTCAAAGGATTAGAAGTAAAGGTCATTTATGTGCAAAGTGCTCACTGTGTACTGAAGTGGTGTGATGAAATAAACGCCTGAGACAGCGTAGATGCTGCTGCACAGTAAAAGTTTTCTCTTGCTCTGGGATGGGAGCTGGACTTCCCACAGCACAGGTGGGTGGCTGTGACAAAACCAGTACTGTTGCTTTTTCTTCTGTTAGGTCTGCTCCAGCTTGTAGCTTTCTTCACAGCTCTTTCAAAGATTTTTGTGTTCTCCAGAGGATAAGTGTGGTTTTATATTTGATACAGGGATTTAAAATGAATGTACTAATGGATATGTGCACAATTTATTTACTGGAAAACATTTCCATCATAGAGGTATGAGAAAATGCATAAAATACATAGGTATGCTGTTATACCCTGCTCCACTAAAAAAATGTCAGAACATTTACAAACAGAGCATGGAGCCAATATATGTTTAATTAATTATCATACCAGTCCAGGAAAAGCAAGGAGAATGAACACATCACAAGGAAGAAGAGGATCCATACTCTAAATCCAGCATTGTTTTTGATGGCCTGTGAGGGAAAGTTATCCCTGTTACCATTACCAGTAAATACAATTTCAACAGTGGCAACTCAGAATGCCTGTTTGTGGCATCACCCTTCCCTCCCACAAGAGAAAGAACAAAATCTGACCTTAATTTCAGGTGAATACAAGTCAGGTTGGCTGGTACCTCTTTAGATTTATTACACTGAAGTCACACTCAAAATCTTAAAATTGCACAAATCAAACTCCAGGAGCTATATTGCAAAGTACATGCTTCAAAGTTAGTTCTAAGTTTCAGAAGTGAAATTCCTTGATTAAAAGGAATCAGGCCTTCATCTTTCTAATAAAGATCTGACTTGAAACAAATGAAAAAAACAACAAAACCAAACAACAAACAAATACAAAATCCTTGACACCTCTGGAGGTAACACAGTCACTTATTTCAGTCTCAGAGCCAGTATTTTTCTTGGCTACTCCTTTCCAAAACTGACCAGCAGGGGACTTGGTTTTTGCTCTCATTTTTTTAGATTGAGATTTTTAGATTTACATAAGGAATTTTTTTAATATGATACAAACACTAATGTGAGTAACAGTTTATATTACCACCTTTCACAACTGTTTCTCAGGATGGTTTAGGAAACTTAGTTCTACCTAAAAATGTGAAAAGTGAAATAAAATGTAGCTTCAGTTCTTGCCATATTTGGTGCACTTTTCAGAAGAGCAGAGCAGTGGACAACTCACCCTTGAAATACCTTTTCTGTGTGCTCTCAGGAGGGAGAAAGAAGTGAGCCAATTACTCAGTAGCCTAATTTAGAAACTCCATTTTTATTGTAATCTCAGTTCTCAAAATAAAACAACCTTTCCTTCTACTTAGTAAAAGTGGAAGCGATTTGTTTACTAGGAGCATGCAAGAGGTGTTCAGAGTCTCTTCTGCTAACATTCAGCATTCTGTTTCAACCATTTCAACACTGTCTTAGAGTCGTAGTCTGCAATTTCTGCCCATCACTTCTTTGTTTTAAAAAAACTTCACAGGTGCTTAAATGCAAGCCAGGTGACCTTCATGTTTAAAAGCTGCTGAGGCCAAGTAGATTTCTGCAGTCCTGTGTAGCTATTCAGATCATGCTTAGCAAGTGTGAACCATTGAGAAGCTCAGCTACCTTGAACAGTTTTCCCAAGCCCCTGTACTGACACCCAACACCCACTGCACCAGTGCCATGGGCGAGCTCGCACGTGCTGTTTAAAAGCAACACCTGGAAAAAACTGAAAGTTAAGAGAAATGAGTCTAAAACACAACTTCAAGATATTACCTCTCTTATGTCTTCATTGCCTTCTTTTATATTCTCTGTTGCACCCACAACTAATTGATGGATATTGTCAATATCAGTCTCCTGTTTAAAAAAGAAATAAAATTGAGAAATAGTAATGAATGTTACAAAAAAAAAAAACAAAACAACAACAAAAAAAACAAAACAAAACCAAAAACAAAACAAAACAAAACAAAACAAAACAAAACAAAAAAAAACAACACTTCCAAGGACTTGGGGAACAAGCAGAACTCAAAAGTAAAATAAAATCTGGTATTACTAACATCTTTGTTTCATTGATGCAAAGGCAGAGAGTAATACATTAAAGTTGTAATTTCTTTTTCGGTGATTTTATGAACCTGAATGGAAACTACCAAGACCAGCAGGAAATCTCCCATTTATCTAGAGTCAAATCTAACCTGTCTGATTTTTCCAGCTCTTTTGGAAGAGGTGCCAACATTTCCAGAAAGGATACTGTTGCATAACACATTTAACAGAACATCAATTCTGAGGCAGAGGGATCATTCTAACACACATCTCTCATTTTCCATTCCTGGTACATTCTAATAAGTAACAACAGTAAATATCTTGATTTTGAATTTGAAAAACAAAAGTATTTTCCTTCACGTTTGTATTAAAGATTTGTTAATTTTATATTCACAAGTTGGCAATCAAGACCAAAATGCCCCCAAGAAAATCTTTAAGTTGTATTTGCTGCTCTAGTAATTAATTATACTAACCTGTTGCAAGACTTTCTCAGTGAATATCTCTTGTAATCTGGAGATTTCCACCACTTTTCCTTCAATTTGTCTTGGCAAAGAACAGAAACACTCCATTAGAAACTAGCGCAAACATGTCTTGCTGCTGCAGATTCAGACCCTCCAGCCCAGTAAGTGGCTGCTCAGGAGGTCACTGTTCTGTCAGTTGTCTGTGAGGCAGCAATAACAGGGACTGGGGCCTGGACAGTGCCTGGTTGGAAGACAACCAGCCCCCAGTGAAGTCCTGGGAAAGGCACCCCCAGAAATGCTCAGTGAGCAGCTTTCACTGCCAGGTATTTCACTTGTCTCCCTTCTTTCATTTCATATAATACCATTCATGCTGGGATTTAAGCAGTTGACTTTGACACACCCTTTTCATATGCTGCTCTGGTGTGTGCAGTTCACCTGGCCTAGGACTGATACCCAAAAGTCAGTTTCTAGCTTGAGTAGCTGTTTGGGTGTTCTGCACAGCTGGGGAGAGTGATGGCACCACTGCCTGCCTCTGCACCTCCCCTACTGCCATCTGGATATCCAGCAGACAACAGGACAGAAATGGAAAATGTAGTACTTTAAAATGTGGATAAGGGAGAATGTAAGAATGCCTTCCATATGTAACCAGTGCTGCCATTGGGACAGCACATGGTTCCTTTCCTGGGCACTGGTGATTTGTCCCAGGAGCAGGCAGGTGTCCTGCAGCTAATGCCCTGCACACGGGGGCTGACTGGGGCATGGGACCAGCACAGGCCACTGTCTGTCAAGGGACAGAAAACTGTACCTGACTTCATCGAAGAGATTGTTCATCTCACCAACAAGTCTCTGGTTCTCCTGCTCAAACTGGAAAAAGGGGAGAAGGAAATGACACATGAAATTTATAGGTTTAACTTCCCAGAAGTGAGTCTGAAATGACAGGTATGTGTTTGAAGAAGGGTAACAGTATCTTACAGAGAAAGGTTTAGTCTTCTGACATGGGCAATTTCTATCATAAAGAATGAAGAAAAAATTTTTATTTCTTTGAACATCCAGATTTTTTTAAACATCCAGATTTCTTTTTGTACAAGAGGCTCACTGCCTACCTTATTGGTAAAGAACAGCCTTCTCTTCTGGGCTAAAGGATCCCACAGAGTCTAAGAGGAAGGTTACTGGGCACTGCCATCTTCACTGTGGGTAGCAGTCTCAGGGAAGGTGCCCAGCTCCATGAATGGAAGGGGAACAGAGAGCAACATACTGCACAGTTCCATTGATTTCCACTCTAAA